AAGCGGAGTGCGGGCCTTTGCATCCACTGTGTACTTGTGGATGAGTCCGGTTCGTTCGCTGACGCGTTTTCAGTTAGTCCTTAGTGCAATCACCTCGGCATGTACAATCAGTTTAGTTTTTGGGTCAAGCACCTCGTCCGGCACGTGGCTCGGGCCACGGGTGTTGACACGTGGCGGGTGAGGTGGCGGGTCTGACACAGGCCCGTAACAAAGGTAATTTTGGTTCTCATTTTGAATATCCTTTTAATCATCTTTATCTAGCTATTTAATCTAGGTTCTAGATTACACTCATGCATTTGACATGCTTTAGTGGGTGAATATTTTGTGGCATGTGTGGATTAAGTATTAACCTCTTAAGATATTATACCACTTTTTATGTTTGCCACCATAACTCTTCAGGTCTGTTTTATTTTTATTTTTCACTTATTTTCTGTTTAATCTGTTTATTTTGTTCTTGATTACAGTCATGGATTGAGGTGTCGTAGTGGGTGAGTATCTTGCAGTGTTCTTAAAAGTAGTGTCTAGATGAAGTGAACGTAAAACGACATGCATCGCGCTTTTTATTATTTATTTTTTTTTCTAGGCGCGATTTTTTACACTTTTACGTTTTTTTCTTTAATTATTAAATGATTTATATTGATTTAAAATTTTAAAATAATATTAAAATAAGAAAACGTTTTTCTACGCCTTTTTACATCTAGGCTCGCCTAGTCCGAAGCTTGGCCTCCACGACTCGTCACACTTTACGTTTTTTAGAACACTGGTGTCTTATGACGTTTGTGGACTAAACTGTTTAGCGATTACTATGATTTTACGCTATTTTATGTAATATGAGTGATGTACTGATTGCGAATTTTGAGATTATCAATTAATATTAAACTGAATGCTGAGTTTTCTTGTGTTTAGTGCTAATCATAGATCAGATTGTGAATGAATTGACGATTATGATTATGGCTAATGATTAATATACCATACTTTTGGTGTTGGTTTTTAGCTCTAGATCTCAATAAGGAATTAATTTCCTTTTAAGATAAAGAAACCAAATAAGAAAGAATCTTAGAACTTCAAAAGGTTAATTGGATTAATGAGTTATATCCCTACTATAATAAAAGAGTCAATCCGCCGGGTATTATTCATTTTTGAAGTATTTTGGTTTCCCTAATTACCCTCCGGCTGAAATTGTTAGAATATCTTCACCCACATTTGTTGACTTTGACCAGCATTTTGGTTTTCATAATTGTCCCCACCTGCTGACTACTATTAATTTTTGAAGCATTTTAGTTTCCCCAATTACCCCTACCCTACTGAGTACTGTTCATTTTGAAGCATTCCCTTTGAATGAAATTGTTATAATAATAATAATTTCTCTACTCTATTAAAAGAGTCAATCCGTCAAGTACTGTTCATTTTGAAGCATTTTCCATTCCCATTATATCCCCACTAATTAATTCTTTCCCATTTTATCCCCCATTATTTACTGTTGATTTTTTGGATCTTTTTAAAATCTCAATTCATCCATATCCATCATCTACTATTCATATAAGGTTCAA